TGTGGTGCTGGGGGATTGAACCGCGGTCCCTGTGCTTTGCTAAGCTTGTTCTAAGTAGGTGCTTTAGACCACTGAGCCATCTCACCAGCCCATCATCAGTTATTTATTAACATGCCAGGGATTCTGGCTAGGAGTGGGGTGGGGCCCTGGCCAGAACTCAAGAGCCCCTCATCTGGGAAAGATGAAGCAGACAGAGACAGCTGCAGTGCAGCTGGGGCTTGGCCAGAGAGAGGGACACGGGGCCTGAGGGGAGCCCGGAGAGCAAGCGATTCTGGGAGTGCAGGACGGTATCCCAGGTTGCGTGCATGGCGTAAGCTAAGGCAATAAAGGCAGGAAGCCCAGTGTGCACTGGGGGAGCGTGGGTCCCCGCAGCTCACACGTGCAGAGTAGGTGCTGTGCTCTTCCACCCAGCCAGCCCAGAGGCTCACTGGGATCCTGCCACTGTCAGGAGGGGCTGGCCCTGCAAAGCCCTGGGGCCAGCGCAGCAGGTATTGTTCTGTGAGAACATCACGTGCCTGTTGGCCACCAGCCAGCGATAGAGGTCATCCAGGTTCTGGTCACAGATCCAGGGGTTGCCAGAGAGGTCAAAGCCATCCCGCATGTCCCGGGCAGGCTTTCCCAGGGATACCCAGAGCCCTCTGGGCACGGTGGTCAGCAGGTTATTGGAGAGGTCTAGCATGTCCAGCTGCCTTAGGCCTTGGAAGGCACCGGCCGCCACCTTAGCCAGCTTGTTGTCATTGAGAAAAAGGTAGCGTAGGCCTGGCTGGGGCCAGAGCAGGTCCTCCCCAAGTGCCCGCAGCCGGTTCCCCTGTAGGTGCAGCCGCTCCAGATCCAGCGGGCCCTGCAGGAGGTCAGGTGGCAAGACCTCCAGCTGGTTGTCCCCGAGGTCCAGGGTGTGCAGGCCGGTGAGGTTGGCCAGTAGCCCAGGGCTCAGAGTCTGGAGGCCATTGCCAGACAGGTCCAGGAAACCCAGTATTTTCAGGCCGTACAGCCATGAGGCCTGTAGGGCCTCCAGCCTGTTTCCCTTCAACACCAGGGTGTGCAGGGTGGCTGCGGCCCGGAAGAGGCCCATGGGCAGCTGAGTAAGGGCGTTGTGGGTGAGGTCCAGCACCTTCAGGCCAGGCACGGGTGCCAGGAGCTCGGCTGGCAGCTCTTGCAGTCGGTTGTTGGAGAGATGCAGCTCTTGGAGGTTGGGGGCACCCTGCAGGGCATCAGCCGGCAGTTGGGTCAGGTTGGAAAACTCCACCGCCAGGTGTGTGGTGTCTTTGGAGAGGGGGCTGGGGAACGTGGAGGGTGCATAGCAGGCCACGGAGCTGCTGTTGATGGACTGGTAAGTCAGACACTCACTGGGGCTGGGGAAGCCCCCCTGGATGGAGGCCGTGGACAGCACTAGCAGAAACAGGGTACTCCCAAGACGAGGATTGAGGCCCCCTGGCCTATGAGCAACAAAAGCCACAGTGAAAATATATCCATATCCAGAACCCACCCCAGGGCTGCCATTCCTTGTTGCCTGGACTAGTGCGGTGCGGTCACTTCCTCTTCCTCTTCAGCCTTCTATCCACCCTGTAGCCGACAGAAGGGGCCATTTTCCCTGGAAAGCACCTATGACTTGAGTTTCTGAGTCTGAGTCCTACATACTACCCTTCCCCATTGCCATCCCAGCCCTAATGGGCTGGTAGTGATTCCCATTCCAAATTGTTAGTTGTGATTTGGTTTGTTTTCAGGGTCAGTCCTTTTCTCCCTAGTTCTGTATTTTAATGCGACAACCAGAAAACTCCTATTCATCATGCAAGTCCCCAGCTCAAATGCTGTCTTTTCCATTGAAGCTTTTTTTTCCTTCCCTACAAAGGAGGAGTTGCTGCTCTGGGCTCCTCTTCTGTCCTTAGTGCTGCAGAGCCCTCAGGCTCCAGCTCCAAAGAGAGGACCGTGTGCACACACACATGTAAGTGCATCTTGCTTTGGGTAGATCTAGGGTGGACATTTGGTCTTGAGAAGGGGTGGTTCAACGTTGGCATCATAATCCTGGGACCTCTGGTGGGGTTCTCTCCCATTCCCTGCCTGGCCCGTGGCCCACCTGGATTATGCAGGTGTGCATATATGTGTGAGACCCCATCTGTCTGTCCCAGCCTTCTGTGATCTGTCCCCTATGACTTCAGAGAATGTACACATGTCCAGGATGGACAGGGTGGGGACCTACCTCTGCTGTTGCTCTCTGCTCCGAAGGGACATGGTGACTCTTCTCCTCCTCCTCTGAGACTCCTTGGGCCTGCAGCAGGTGGGCTTATGCCTGCTTGGGTTGGAGGCGGGGTTCCAGCCTGGAGGAAGTCCCTGAGTCACTGGTTCCCGTCCCTCACAGGGTCACAGCCCAGCAGGGCAGCAGAGGGCTGGGGCAGGATTGCACAAGCACTTCCTGGTCATCGGTGCCTGCCCCTTCTCAGTCCTTGGTACCAATTTTTCCCATTCTTGTTTTCTGGATTTTTTTTTTTTGGGGGGGGTTACCCAAGAGTCTGGAACTAAGTCCTCACTTCCCTGAGCTAGAATTCAAGGGTAACAGTCCCAAGGCACTGTCCCTGGGGAAGGGGGACAGCACTTTGAACAAGAGGTATTATTTACAGGAACAACCAGGAAGTTCATTGAATTCAACAATGATAACAACAACAAAAAAATCCCTTTGTTTCCAATGCATGGCATGTTCTGTGTTTTCATTTTCTTTTTTTTTTTTAATTGCAGTGGCTTTTAAAAAACTAAAGTACATGTGTGGAAAGCCCAAAGTCACTACAGCCTCCAAACAGAGGCACAGGAGGACACGAACTTGACTGCAGACCTGGCTTTGCACCCAGCTGCCCTGCTTTGTGAATTTGGGCAGATGGCATAACTTTTCTCACGTGAAGCTGAACTCAGTCTTCCAGGGTCCCTTCTGCAATTTCTTTCTTCCCTTGAAGAGGTACTGAGGTAAGAACACAGGGCCTCTGCACAGAGCTACATCCTCACCTCCTTCTTAGTTTTTATTTTGAGACAGGGTCTCAGTAAGTCACTAAATTTCCCAGGCTGGCTGTGAACTTGTGCTCCTCCTCCCTCAGCCTTTAGGAATCCTGGGATGAAACAGGGCATGGTGGTGCACACTTGTAATCTCGGCATGCACTACCTTGGGAGGCTGAGGCAGGAGGATTTCTATGAGTTTGGAGTCAGGCTGGACTAGTGAGAAAGCAATGCCCTATGAGAGAGAGAGAGAGAGAGAGAGAGAGAGAGAGAGAGAGAGAGAGAGAGAGAGACAGAGAGAGAGAGAGACAGAGTGCACACGAGCGAGCAAGCAAGCATAG